ACTTTTATAATCAGAAAAAAAAAAAACTGTTTTATAGCTGTAAATTATATTAGAAAGGTTTCCATTCAAAACAGTTGCATTTTTTTTAGGTTGTCCCTTAGAAGGCTGTGTGTCAGTCACTGAAAATTTCTTTCATCAAAGAGCTCATCTCCCAAGAGAACCAGAAAGGGGAGGCCATGCCACCATCGACATCATGGGTGTTGCATAAGTCAAAACATGCTTACATGTCAAGAAGTAATCCCCCCAAAAAATAACCATTTTTCCCAATTTGGGAAGCGACAGGGAAAACGTCTGCCTCCCCATCCAGCTGCCCATGCTAATTATTCACTGCACATCCTGGTAAAGTTGCTATGGCTCGGTCTGGAAAGAGGGTTACTCTACAAACAAGGGAACAACCAGTGACAAAGAGAAGAGGCAGAGAAGCATCGAAACCTTAAAACAACACCAGAAGCATCCTCGGCAATCACGAAGTTCAGCTCCGTGGTCCCATCCCATTTCACAGATGGGAAGAATGAGGCATGAAGCTAGAAATGATTTATAGTCATTTTCCTCTCAGTGAGACCAAGAGCTGTAAAAGACACCAGCTCTAACAATCTCTCTAGTAATTGAATTTCCTCTAAAGTATCCCCAATAAGTGGTTGTTCAGGTCCCGTGTGCACTCATGGGACAGACAGCTCCCACTTTTAGAAACATGTGTGATTAGTCATGGAATAGCATTGATATAGTCATTAGGTTGAGTTGAAATATCCCTCTCAGTATCTTTTGCTCATTGGCCTGTTTCAACTCGGCATACTGCACAGTCCAAAATCCAAAAAGTTCTAAAAATGTGAAAGCTGTTATAATGCACTTGGCAACAAAAGCTGAATTGGAAGGGCGTGTGTGTGTGTGTGTGTGTGTGTGTGTGTGTGTGTGTTGTCCTTACCTATTCCACTCAGCATGAGTGTACTGGGCTACAGAAATGTTTCTGTTTGATTATAGGACACTGTTTCAAACCCCACTGAGAATGTTATGTAATATAAGGCATGTGGAGGGTATTATTCAGGTGAACCATATGAAATTATTATTATTGTAGGTCAAAGCTGTCAGATAATGGTGATTTCATATCGCTAAACTTAATGCTTTTCCAAAACCTGGCACCAAAGATTTTAAATTAAGAAATTAAGGACCTGTAATCAAGAGGAATCTCCAATATAGAGTAATATGTCAGAGTTGCTCTGTCAAGAAAGATTCTCAAATTAATTTTCCACCCAAGCCTCTGACTGGGACCTCAGACTTATCATCCACTGCCTTCTCATAATTTCACCTTTGCTTGGTTGTCTAAAAGTCACCTTAAATGGTGCACATCTTGATCTGAGCTCTCAAGCTTCCTTTCCTGTCTCCACTAATAGCATCTCAATTCTTCCAATGCTCCAACCAAGAACCTTGGACCCAGACTTTTCTCTTTCTCTCTCACCCTACATCCAACTGGGTGAGAAGTTATGTCCTCCCTACTTCAAAATACTTATGGAACCCATGATTTCTTGTTACCCTCTCTGTCACCACCTTTTCCAATCCACCATCTTGCTTCGCCTGGATTATTGCAATAGTTTCCAAACTGGTCTCCCTGATTCCACCCTTCCTTTGGGCTATTCTTGACACAGCAGCCAGGAAGATTTTTATGAAATGAAATCCTGCCACTCCTCTGCCCTACATATCCCAGAGCTTCCCCACCACACTGAATGAGAGCCAACTCCTACCCATGCTCAGAGCCCCGCATGGCCAGCCTCCTCTGATACTGCTCTGACCTCATTGCCCCTGGTCTCCTCCTCACTCACAACTCCAGTCTTCCTGGCCACACTGATGCTCCTGACACACAGCTTTTTCAAGGCCAGGAGCATGGGTTTTTCTCGCCACCCTACATTAAACTGTAACTAAAGTAACTGCCTATCTCCCTTTCTGTTTTGTTTTGTTTTGTTTTTTTTCCTAAAGCTCCAAGAGCATCTAATACGCTTAACTCATTTCTTTTATTTACTGGCCATCTCACTCCACTAGAACATAAGCTCCATGACAACAGGGATTGTTCTCTGTTCTTGTTACTGCTTTATTCCCAGTACCAAGAACACTATCTTGCACGTAGCTGGCACTCAAGTGCAATAGCTCATTATTTATCTAAAAGTGATTTACCTTCTGCCTTGGAATCCACTGAGAGAGAATCAAGAAGGAAATGATAAGTAATTTCAGCATCCAAAACAGATGTCTGTATCACCAAACAGGCTTCAGAAGGCAAATGAGTTCGACATTGTTAGCCGTCAGGGAAATGCAAAGTAAAACCACAGTGAGATATCGCCAGACACCTACAAGAATGGCTAAGAGGAGAAATAGTGATAACACCGAATGCTGGAGAGAGAATGCAGAGAAGGTTGTTGGTTCTTTCACACATTGCTGGTGGAAAGCAAAATGATACCAACACTCTAGAAAAGAGGGTTCCTTACAAAATGAAACAAGTGCCTACCGTTATGACCCAGCAATTTCACTCTGGGCATTTATACCAGAAATGAAATTAAGCCATGTTCACACAAAAACCTGTATACCAATATTCATATCAGCTTTGTTAATAAATAAGTCAATCCTGGAAATAACCCAAAATTCCTTCAGTGGGTGACTGGCTAAACAAACCATGCTACATTCGTACCATGGAATACCACACAGCCATCAAAAGAAATGAACCATTGATCATGCAATGATTTGGATGGGCCTCAAGGAAATGGTGCTGAGCGGGAAAAAAAAAAAAAAAGCCAATCTCAGAAGTATACAGACCACACAATTCCATTTATATAATATTTGTGAAAGAACATGATTACTGAGTTGGAGGGCAGAGGTTAAAAGAGGAGGGTAGTAGCAGAGGCTATACATTGTAGCATGGGGGATCCTAGAGACAGAGCTTTTCTATGCCTTGACTGTGGTGACTGTCACACACATCTGCACATATGGCACACTACACAGAAACTAAATAAGTCTACACAAATGAATAAAAACACATATCTACACATAAAAAACTGGTAAAGCCTGAATATCAATGTCAACGTCAATTTCTTGGTAGTGATGTTATGCTCTCGTTATGCAAGATGTTGCCTTTGGGGAAAACTGAGTCCAGGGCATGCAGGATCTCTCTGTTTTGTTTCTTGCAACTACATGTAAATCTACATCTACAACAGCCTCAAACAAATGTCCATAGGTCCAGGCCCTAACACTCTTATTCTCTTCTTATAGGACATTCCCTGGGCACAAACTCAGAATCCATTGAATCTTACTTTAAACAGAAGTATCACAAGCTTACTTACCAGGTTTTGTAGATAGCCAGGTACATTAAAATGAGGTGGGTCTGCTAGAGTTCTCAAGGTCACACAACTGAGGTTTAAAACCCACACCTCCAAAAAAAAAAAAATAAATAAAAATAAAACCCACACCTCCAGATCCCCAGTCTGGTGTTTTTAATCTTCCTCATCTTTTGAGGCCTTTTGATCTTGTGGGTGAGAGTACATACTTCTTCCTGTGAACCCATACATTTAACACTTTTAAGACCCTGGTTTGATTAAGCATACCAAGCTTCTAAAAAAGGAATACAAGAATAAGAACATATTTGTAAACTCTTTCAAGATGATCCAGTATTAAGGGTGATTGTGTGTTCAAAAGTTACAATGGCAAAGATCTAGGTTAGTCTCAAGGTGTCTTACCAGGTTTGTTAAGCCAAGAATAGGTAACCAAGAGACATAAAAGTCATCCTTTGCTGGGATTCTTTGGAAATGTGTTAGATGTTTATTTCAATAGATGTCAGTTATGACCAGTATTACATTAGGAGCTACAGTCATAGGGAAGGGATGTGAGTAACTTGGCATCTGCCCTCCTACATCTGATGATTTAATGGGGACAATGGAAAAGTAGTCCGCCATAGTTTACTATGAAATATTCTATGATAAGAGAAGAACAGGAAGCTATAAAAACATAGATGAGCATCTCACCCAATCTCAGAGGCCACAGATGCAGAAAAGTTTTTAATACAAAGTGTGAAATAGGGGAGCATGGTGATACCATAGGACAGGATTGGAGGCCGTCACAGTGGAGGGACTAGCATGTGCAACAGTTCACTAATCCATAATGCGTTTGGGAGAACTGCAGCTTGGGAAAAGAGTAAGAGTTGAGGCTGGACACTGGTGAGGGGTGGTGGTGGGCAGGGACCAGATCATGGAACGCTTTTGCAAGTAGCCCACAAGGATCACGATGTGAAATAGCACAAGTAGCAACTGAATGGAGGTGCTAGTCAGGCTAGTTTCCACCACTTGCCACAGGACATCCTTAAGCTTTCCTATTTCTATTACCCATCTTTCTGCAGAGTCCTCTGCTCTTCTCCTACATCATGTTCCCTAAGCTTCAAGGCCTAGTTCCTACACCAGCTCTTTCTCCAGGAAGCTTCCCCAACCCCTAACTGGAAGGATGGCCTTTTTCTGGGCACACTGGGTGTGGGTGTCTGTGTACGTGCACAATACAGCAGCGCGTGCAGTGTAGCGCAATGATTACGACACTCTGGAGCCAGCCTACCTGAGTCGAGATCCTATGCTTCCATTTCCTTATCTGTCAAGTGGTAATCATAACATTACTACGTCAAAAGGTTATCTCAGGATTGAATAATTCCATTGATACCTTTAACTCCCCTAGAACAGTGACAGGCACAAAGGAAATGTTTAATAAATGTTAGCCTTTATTACATGTTGTGGGCCCTCTACACACCCAACTGCGGGCAAGGCCTATCACTTGTGTTCAATCAACTTGGAACTAATCAGAGAAGAGAGAAGTCAATGTCCTCTTTTCGTGAGCAGTCACCTTTATGACCTCACACTCTTTGCTTAGACAACTGGTCTACTCAGGCAAGGTATGCACTTTCCTTTCACAGATGGTTGTGTGGTAGAGGCAAGAACCCCAAACAGTGATTTTGAGGAACTAAACCATCATCCTAGCTCCTCTGTCCTAATCCCTGGATGACCTAAAGCAAGTGCCTTTCACTTTCCAGAACTTTGGTTTTTCCGGCTGTGCAAGAAAAATGAGCTCCTATGAAGCTCAAAACTGCAGAGGGCTTGGCAGCATTTTGCACAGCAGTGATGCAAACACGATTTCTATTTCCCAGTCTGCAAGCCACACCACACATCTCCCAGGCCTTCACTTTCACTTCCAGAAGCGGCACACTCCCCAGACTGGCATGGCTGGAAGGTCTCCAGCGCTGGGAACAGCTATATTTTAATTCGCCCCGCCCACTGTCTTGATGGATTCTTTTTCTCCTCCTCCAGGGACTTTCCTCACTTCCTTCTGTAAACGAAGGAAGAAGCACATGAGCACACTGTATATAAATATGCTTGGGAAAGCTTTCTTCTTCTTCTTCTTCTTCTTCTTCTTCTTCTTTTTTTTTCTTAAACCAGATTTGGTTTCTGTTGTAGGCGGTGCATTCCCTAGCCAGGCGGGGCCCAGTGTGTTGTGGAAGGGGGAGGGGAGAGGCCGGGGGTGGAGTAGGCAGTGATTAATGCACCCACTGTGAGAGCCTGTCTTCTATTTAATGGGGGGTCTCTCTGCCCAGGGGGAGTCAGAGCTGTCTCCAGGACCAGCGGGAGCATGGCAGAGAATCTGGGGCTGGGCTTCAGGGAAACAGCCAGCGTGGAAATGCTGCCGGAGGAAGGCAGCTGCACCCCCAAGGCCAGAGCCAGGTTAGCAGCCAAGAGCAGAGCAAGCTGGGCTCTCACTTGCTGCCTGCTGTCACTCCCCATCCTGGCAGGACTCACCACCTACCTGCTTGTGGGCCAGCTCCGGGCCAGAGGAGACGCCTGTGTGTTCCAGGTAAGCAGTCTCTCCCCTGAGCCCTGAGCCAGGGGCCCACTGACCTGCTGCAGGCACCTGGCAGCCGCTGCAGCTGTGGACAGACTCCTTTGACCCACCAAGCTCCCTGCTTCCCCATGCTAAGGAAACACCATGGGAAGGGCAGAGAGGTCCAATCTGGTGTTTATCCCCAATGATTCCAGGAGATGAATTGTCCTCTTTATGTTTATATGGGAACAACCTCCAATAACATAGTTTTAGATAATTACAATCATAGTGTACTATGACTATTTGGGAATATTCCTTTTCTTAAAAAAAAAAAAAAAAAAAAAAAAACCTCCTTAAATTATATAACTAACATATGTCATTGAAGAAAGTTAGAAAACACAGATAAGGAAAAGATGATAATTATCATTACCCATAACCACATCGAAGTGACCACTATTGATATTTTGGGGTATAGAATTCTGTATTTTGTAACAAGATGAGATTATTTTGAGTCTCCAAATATGTTATGATTTTATTTATTGTTAGTAAATTCACAGCAGTATGATGATATAGATGATTGCATTATGTTCCTGTATATGATATGTCTGTGCTATAATCTAACCAACCCCCTTTCCTGGGTTTAGAAATATTCTTTTTCAATGCTCCAGAAAGAACCTCTTGCCTTGTTGTCTATCTCTCACACCTTGCTGGGGGCTCAGGGTAGAGGAGCTTAGTCAAAAAATGAATGTAAGAGGTAGGGAGAACATTGGTGCCAAGTGGGGTGGGTACAGGTCTCAAGGGGAAACTTACAACTCTGGACTAGGAACATCAAAAACCTTAAAGACCAAAGAAAATGTCATTCAAATAATACCCTTTTATAAAAAAAAAAAATACTCCTGCAAATCTGTCATGACTGATTTCATTTCAGTCAAAGGTATTATATGCCAGAGAAGAAAACAGGCTTTTTAATTGATTTAACTGGAAGTCTGTCTTCTAAGCAATGCTGGCTGGCTTCACAGCAGGAACACCAGGAGAGACCAAGCCATGGCTAATATGTAACTCTCACCACCCCTCAGAGTCAGCAAACAGATCTTGATTCAGGCAGCAGGGTCCACAGCCACATGTCATCATTCAGAAAACATAGAAATACGCAGATAACCTGGAAATGGTGTTCATGTTAGAGAAGAAATTCAAGGCATGGGAAGTCAGGCTGTGACCCCTAAGCCACCTAACCCCCTAAGCTTCCTATGGAGCCAAACCAGAGCATCTCGTCAGTGTTCTGGGATTCTGTCCTTCCTTAGCCAGAAAGAGACAGTTGTCCTGGAATGAGACAGTTGTTCTGGAATGAGGCATTGAGAGACCTCCAAAAACCTGAACTCTGCTGGGATCTGTAAGGAAACAGTGCCTCTGCCTAAAATGATGTCTTGAGATCCCCTATTTCGGCAGATGCCAAAGAACACTTTTGTTGACCTAGAAGACCATCGGGCTCTGGAAGCACCTTGGGGTTAGCAACCGTGGGAAGCCGGTCACCAGCCCTTGGTGGCGGAATGCCACGGTCCACAGGGCTGGTAACTTGCTCCATCAGGAAGAGAGCTTGGGATACGAGCTGTCACTACACAGGGAAGCCCACGAGAGAAGGCATGAGTGCCTGCCCTATCATAGGTACTCAAGAAAGAAAAGGCTAATATTGCATTCTGTGATGCTTAAACCAATCTCCCTGGAGAGCAGACATGCAGAGACGGTTAGCGCTGTGGTTTGGCCAGGCTATCCAACTTCTTGGTGCGTCAGAAGAAGAGAAAGGGAAACAGGGGAGAGGCTGGGGCACATGTAGCAATCAGAGTCTTGAAAAGAAACACCCGGCCCATTCAAACAAGAGAGTTTGAAGAAGAATGCTTAAAGGGTTTGGAAAGGTTCAAAGAAGAGTCTCGTTGCCGAAATGCAGAAGAGCTGGAAGCATAGTGAGGTTAGCAACAGCGGGAGGCTGGTCATCACCTCTTGGCCTGAAAGAGCAAAGGGAGGGAGCAGTTTTAGGGGGACCCAGGGAGAATGAAAACATAGGAGAGGGCTGGCTGGAGGCGCTGAGGGCTAAGTGGAGCCTGCCTGCTTGCCAGACAGCAGGGAGGGAACAGGAAAAAGGGCAGGAGAACTGGTCACTCTCTGCTCCCTGCTTCTCATCCCACTGGCCAGATTGGAAATCAGGCTCAAAAGAGCCAGGAAGCAAGAGCGCCCAGAAGACAGCCTCCCAGGACACAGGGCAGGTCCAAGAAGGGCAAAGAGTGGATCCTACTGGGTTAATGGAGAATAACCAGTTCAGAAAACATGGAAAATAGGATTCAGGAGGGAAAACTAGGTCACCAGGGAGAGCTTGAGTGGGCAGAACTATGTCATGGCTCGTAGACGTCGGAGTTTGAATTCCAGCTCACCCACCTCTGGCTGGGTAAGAACAGGAATGTGGTTTCGTTTCTTTGAACTTATTTCCTTTTCTACCAAAAGAGGATTCACATGTCAACCCTCTGGCAGCTCTGCTAAGATGAGTGCGGGAATGTAGGGAGACCCACACACCGTTACTGTGATTGCCATCCTCACACTATGCCAGACACCCAGCTGCTACTAGCAACTGGTGTAGGAAATAGCAGCAAAGACAGTTACCAAAACTGGTAAAATATACGTATTTTAAACTGGACTCTCCCTTCAGGGGTTATGTAAGGAAAGCTTCAAGGTGACAAAATCCTTACCCCAGGTAGGTTTGCAGAGCAGAGATCAAAATCAGATTTGAAAAGATTTATAACCACCTGTAGGGGAAGTGTCCATAAATATGGCATCAGTTGTATACATCCTGGCACCTCCATGCAGGGAAAATCTGCAGTGGCCACTGTTTTTAAAAAAAATGAAACATCTCAGGGCACCTGGCTGACTCAGTCGGTTGAGCCTCTGACTCAGGCCATGGTCTCAAGGTTCGTGGGTTCGAGCCCCGTGTCGGGCTCTGTATTGACAACCCAAAGCCTGGAGCCTGCTTTGGATTCTGGATCTCCCTCTCTCTCTGCCCCTCCCGCCCCCCTCAAAAATAAATACACCTTAAAAAAAAATTAAAAAAACAAAATGAGACATCTCTAGATGTAAGGATGGAGAATTTCTCCAAGATATATCATTAATTGGGAGGAAAAAAAAGGTACCTAATGGTACATAGAATGGGGGACGTTCATTTTCAGGAAATATATGTATTCATATCTATGAATGTTTTTGTAAATGTATAGAACCTCTCAGGAAAAGGACAAGAGATTGGTAGCTCTGCCCACATCTAGCTTGGGGAACTGGGTGGTGGGGCAAGAGAGAAGCATTTTTAAACTTATACCCTTTTTGTACAAAATGTATATGTTACATGTAAAACAAAACCCAGAGAGATAGTAAAATGTTTTAGGGTCGTGAGACTCCTGGAAGATGCCAGGTATCTGGGAAAAACTCAGTTTAAATTCTTGCCTAGATACTTCTTAGCCATGTTACCTAACCTCCCTAGGCCTCAGGCTCTTTATGTGTGACATGGGATACTTAGAAATAAAGTATTTAAGGTGTCTGGCAGGAGGTGGGAGATTAGCAATTGGTAGCAATTATTATTATTATGACCAGGGAACTTCCTGTTCATGGAAATTACATCAGACAGGGCAACTTCTCCTCCCGCTCTGGAATCACCAGGCCAGAGAGTGGGTTTTGACCCTGGAGGAACTTTCTTGTTCTCTGACGTTTTGTGAGCTATCTCCCTGCCTCCTCCACCCTGGCCTTGCACCCACAACCCACACTCCAATCCGTTCTTTGTCAGCTGCCCTGGACCACAGCCCGGGCTTTCTTGGGGCCCTTAGTGGCCTCGATTGCCCTCAGGCTGGGTCTGTGAGCCCCCATGCTGGCCCACAGGGGCCCTGAGACCAGGCTTCCATCTTCCCCAGCCACTGCTCTGACACATACAGGGTCTGTACTCCAGCCATGGCAGAATGTACCATGCTGGCTCAGCCCCAGCCCAGCGCACGGTGGGCACACAGAACTGTGCGAAAAATTGTCAGGGATGTCATTAGCAGCATTGCTTCTTTGGACTGAACCCCGGCCCTATCTCTGTCCTTCCCCTCCAGGTCCTCTTCTGGAATCCCCACACACTCTCCCTACTTTCTTCTTGCTTCCTTACAACCTCCCTTCCACCCCTTTCTGAAAACCCCTGCAAGACTCCTAGCCTTTGTTCCCTGCTCGCCTCTCCCCCCCCCCCCCCCCCCCCCCCCCCCCCCAACGCCTGCCCCTGAGACACACCCCAGCCCTGGTCTCCATCCAGACCCACAGGACCCCACAGTGATGCCGACTGAGGCCTCAGAGTTGCACAGGTTTGAGGGAATGCCGTGGCTCCACCACATTACATCTGTGACCCTCTAATAACTGATCATGTACCAAACACCATTCTAAGCTTCTTCAAACCTAAGGCTCTGAGAACAGTAAATGAGATCATGCCTATCAAGCCCTTAGCCTGGGGTCTGGCATGTATCCATGTATGATACATTTGCTATTATTACTAGATGCATCATCTCAGTTAGTCCTTGAAACCGCACAACAAGGAAAGAAAGTGCTACTGTTATCTCCATTTTAGAGACGATGAAACTGAGGCCTAGAAAATCTAAGCCACGTGACCATTGGGATTCAGATTCACCATATACGTTCCTTCTAAGCACTACGCTCTTCTGCCTGTGGTGTAAACGCAGCAAATCATTCACTTCGTGGCATGGTCAGGAGGATTTGACAAGGATTCCCTAAAAAGTACCTGTCACATAGTAAATGCTCAACAAATGCCAATCCCCTCCTTCCTCTGGGGGCTTCTAGCTGTACCTGGCACACAGAAGGCACTCACAAAGGGTTAGCTGGGTAGAGAGAGAGGAAAGGATGCACGAGGTCCCCAGCCTCCCTAAGTCATCCACTCCCTGTCTATAATGTGGGGAGGCAAACACACTTGTTTTATAGCTCTGAAGTGAGAATTCAGCAAGAGGATGTTGGGAAGCTATTGC